ACACACACACACACACACACACACACACACACACACACACACACACACACACACACACACACACACACACACACACGTCAGAGGTCCACGCACCATTGCCCTACAGGTATTTGCAAACTCATTCCATATCCCCGCAGGAGACGGGAACAATGGCAGGAGGAGTGAGGTGGTTTTTGGTCGCAAACAGAGTCTTAAAAGCAACCATTACTGACCCGAGACCAATACAGCTAATGAAACCCTGCAAGTAGGGATTGACTCGTTTCTGTGTGTGTTTGTTGACATGTGGCTAGTTAATGAGCCTCTCTGTCATGGCGCCGCGGCCTCTTGCCCATTTTAGGAATAAGATCCTTGTCGTGGCCTTTGAAGCGTGTGCTCTCTTTCCATCCGTTGTATTTGTAATTTTTTTGCATCGTTGGTTTGTTGTTTTTACCAGTTAATCCAGTTTTTGTTTTGTTTTTAATTCGAGTAGTTCTTGTTTTATTCCAGATGAGTAATTACTGAGATGGGCAGAGAAACGTCTGTTATCTGAAATTATGTTAGTTGTTTTAATGGTTTGAGATAATTGCGCTGGTCGGTACATGGACAGTATCGCATTTTGCAGGGTCGGCGTTCGATCCCTGATGGTGCAAGTGGTTGGGTACTGTTACTTCACAATGGCACTATATCTGGCAGCAGGAGTTCAGGGTTAAATATAGCACACTCTCAGTCTTCATGTAGGGACTTAACGCCCCCAAAAAACAGTTAAGGAATTTATTTTTATGTTGAGCATCTTATGATTGGAGCCGATAAATGATATATTATAATGATAAGTTGATTGGAAGAACCCTATGTGTGTACATACCTAATTGTGCTTGCGGTGGTTGAGCTCTGGTTCTTTGATCCTGCCTCTCAACGGTCAATCAACTAATGTACAGGTTCCTGAGCCTATTGGGCACTATCATATCTACACTTGAAGTTGTGTATGGAGTCAGCCTCCACCACATCACTGCCTAATGCATTCCATTTGTCTATTACTCTGACACTGGAAAAGAATCTTTCTAACGTCTCTATAGCTCATTTGGGCACTCAGTTTCCACCTGTGTCCCCCTTGTGTGTGTGCGTGTGTGTGTGTGTGTACTCACCTAGTTGTACTCACCTAGTTGCGTTTGCGGGGGATGAGCTCTGGCCCTTTGGTCCCGCCTCTCAACCGTCAATCAACAGGTGTACAGATTCCTCAGCCTATTGGGCTCTATCATATCTACACTTGAAACTGTGTATGGAGTCAGCCTCCACCACATCACTTCCTTGTGTGTGTGTGTGTGTGTGTGTGTGTGTGTGTGTGCGTGCGTGCGTGCGTGCAGTAATCTTGAAGAATCTGCAGCTCGTCACCTGACTGTCTTCCCCCACCCCTAATGAGAGCACAGTGTCACCAACTACTCCTCAGTGACCAGTCCTCCCCTCATCCTGCCAAGGCTCATTACCCCTCCCCTAATCGCCCTCCTTCTCCCCCCCCCCTCCCTCACACTGGGTCTTAAACACAACAGAGGTCCTTGGACAAAGCTTGCAGCATCATTCTCTTGCGATTAGCAGCTAGTTGATGACTGAGGTTCGAGGGAGAGAACTCAATTAATGATTAATTGGCTGGATGCGAGTGTTGGTAACTCTGCTCGGAGGAGGGGATAGGAGGGGTGGGGTGGGGGAGGGGTGAGGGAGGGGTGGGGGAGGGGTGGGGGAGGGGTGGAGGAGGAGGGGGGGTACTGCCTAATGAAAGGTGAATACAAGGTCTTTAGTCTTGGGCAAAATCGATACGCTTTCTTTAGTCAGATACTAGACCTGGGGGGGGGGGGGGATGAATCCACGTATTCATCTCAAGATGACGTATTATATCTTGAAGGACTCTGCTTGACTAAGATTTTCTCCTTAATTAAGGTAAGCGTTCTTATTAAAGACTATGCTAAGTTGTGGAGTGTGGGGTGCCCCCCCCCGCTCTCTAGCTTGGCGAAGACCTCCACGTAATTAAACTGAACCACACACACACTTAAAACAGTTAATTGATTGACAGCTGAGAGGCGGGCCTAAAGAGCCAGAGCACAACCCTCTTAAGCACAACTAGGTGAATACACACACACAAAATATTCGAGAACATTTAATCTGAGAAAATGGGGCCAAACCTAAATAATACCATTCAATGTATAAGGGAATCGTAATTTTTTATTACTGTTTTCATACGTTGAAATCTCCACTTGGAGCAACTCTAGCCAGACATCTTGGATAACAGCTTTAGTGCATTCAGATCTCCACTAAGGAGTAAATCTAGCCAAACCTTTTGGATTACTGCTTTAGTGCGTTGAAGTCTCCATTAGGAGCAAATTTAGCCAAACATTTTGGATTACAGCTTTAGTGCGTTGAGATCTCCACCCACGAGCCAACCTAGTCAAACATTTTGGATTACAGCTTTAGTGCGTTGAGATCTCCACCCACGAGCCAACCTAGTCAAACATTTTGGATTATAGCTTTAGTGCGTTGAGATCTCCACCCACGAGCCAACTTAGTCAAACATTTTGGATTACAGCTTTAGTGCGTTGAGATCTCCACCCACGAGCCAACTTAGTCAAACATTTTGGATTACAGCTTTAGTGCGTTGAGATCTCCACCCACGAGCCAACCTAGTCAAACATTTTGGATTACAGCTTTAGTGCGTTGAAATCTCCACTTGGAGACACTCTAGCCAGTTATTTTAGATTACAGCTTTAGTGCGTTGAAATCTCCACATGGAGGAACTCTAGCTGGGAGGGAGCTGGTCGGCCGAGTGGACAGCACACTGGACTTGTGATCCTGTGGTCCCGGGTTCGATCCCGGGCGCCAGCGAGAAACGAGGGGCAGAGTTTCTTTCACCCTATGCCCCTGTTACCTAGCAGTAAAATAGGTACCTGGGTGTTAGTCAGCTGTCACGGGCTGCTTCCTGGGGGGGGGGGGAGGCCTGGTCGAAGACCGGGCCGCGGGGACACTAAAAAAGCCCCGAAATCAACTCGAGATAACCTCAAAATATAGCCAGATATTTTGGATTACAGCTTTAGTGCGTTGAAATCTCCACTTGGAGAAACTCTAGGAAATCATTTTCGATTACAGCCTTAGTGCATTGAAATCTCCACTAATAACCTTCCAGAGGTTGATAGGCCTTAATCCTAATACTAAATCAATGATTAAGACATCTTCCTAAAAAAAAAAATAATTTTTTGATATCAGACTATCATCGAAATATCACTTGATATTTAAACTGCCGATAATGCACAACTGCTTCTGATGCCGCTGGGTGCCCACGGAAGGGGGAAGGGATTCATCAAGGACATAAGTCTCCAGTTACGAAACCTGTGCATCTTTTTTTCAATTATCTTGACTTAGTTTGCGTTAATGAAGCAGTGTGTGAGCTCTGACGCGCCGCGAGGTATTGTATTTACAACAATAATATTGGGATTGGCTCGTAATCTCTTTATGAACAACACGTTTACCAGTTACAACAACAGGAACTACTACTACGACTACTACGACTACTACGACTACTACTATTACTACTACTATTCAGTAACTACTAACCTGCAGCTTCAATGTTTGTGGACAGTTAATGGCAGAAATTAAAAATTTGTACACTTATCTATCCTTGACTGTGTCCTGCTCATCCTTCATCCTCCATCCTCCAGCCTCCAGCCTCCATCCTTCATCCTTCATCCTCCATCCTAGCACCTTGAGGTCCTCTTCATGTACCGAATTCAGGAAACACGTTGCTGAGACAAGAACGGATTTGGGTTCAGCAATGCAGCTTTTTATGGGTACAAATTGTTCAGCTCTTATTGTAAGTTGGTCTCTTTCTCCCTCTCTCTCTCACCATCCCTCCCTCCCTCTCCCTTCTCCATCCCCCTCTCTCAGCATCCCTCCCTCCCTCCCCCCCTCCCTGCATCTCTTCATCTCAGGAAACAGCATCTTGCCTGCCAGCCTCTCCAGTTTTTACCAGTTAATAAAATACTAACAGCGAACTTGAACTCCCTCGCCTCGACGGCCTCTTCAGTGGTAAGAGGGAGAGGAAAGAGGGAGAAGGGAGGACTTAGTAAGAGGTAGAAACAGAAGGGAAGGAAGAGAATAAGGGATGTATCGAGCATTTAGGGATGTGACATATGAATCTTCTCTCTCTCTCTCTCTCTCTCTCTCTCTCTCTCTCTCTCTCTCTCTCTCTCTCTCTCTCTCTCTCTCTCTCTCTCTCTCTCTCTCTCTCTCTCTCTCTCTCCAAGTCTCTGTTCCAGAACCATTATTGTTTCTAATTAATGTGAATGGGTGGGGGAAGCAGTTCGTCCGTGTCTGTGTTTGCTGATGACGAAGTGTTAATGAGGAATGTAGAAAAAATACAGAAGACTTCGGAAAACTTCAGGAAGAATTTTACAAATTTCTCAAGTTCGCTGACAAATGGCTGTTAAAGCTCAACCCCCAGCATGTGTAAGGCAGTAAAAGTGTGAAATGGAGATAGCAGACCAGATGACATCTATATCATGAAACTGAATTTTCAGGGGAAAGCGCCAAGTCATTACGACTATATAGCACTGGGAAGGAGTCAGGATAAGAATTTGGGATGAGGAGGGGGGAAGGAATAGTGCCCAACCACTTGGACGGTCGGGGATTGAACGCCGACCTGCATGAAGCGAGACCGTCGCTCTACCGGCCAGCATTGGAATGATATTTAGAGGCCTTAACAAGGCCTTGGAAACAGCCTATATGAGGCCAAAAAGGGCATATGTAACGCCAACAAGGGACTCTGAACCTTATGCAGCACAAAACCTAATTTGAAACCCAAATTTTCAACAATTATCTGAATGAGACTAAACTACACGTACATATTAAGGGAAATAAATCTCTCAGGCCCGGAGTAGGAAAAGTGGGGGATATGATCCCTACATACAAGATACTGAAAGAAATAGGCAAGGTTTACAAAGAAAATCATTAAGATACAAGAAGATGACGCAGGTGAAAATTTGATGGAAAAAACAAAAGAAAAAATATTCGTACCCAATGATGGTGATCATGAAGGAGAATTCAATAAAAAATTGTCGTGGAAGCCACAAAAGGCTTCTACCAAGCCACAGAAGGCTTCTACCAAGCCACAGGAAGCTTCTACCAAGCCACAGGAGGCTTCTACCAAGCCACAGAAGGCTTCTACCAAGTCACAGAAGGCTTCTACCAAGCCACAGAAGGCTTCTACCAAGCCACAGAAGGCTTCTACCAAGCCACAGAAGGCTTCTACCAAGCCACAGAAGGCTTCTACCAAGCCACAGAAGGCTTCTACCAAGCCACAGAAGGCTTCTACCAAGCCACAGAAGGCTTCTACCAAGCCACAGAAGGCTTCTACCAAGCCACAGAAGGCTTCTACCAAGCCACAGAAGGCTTCTACCAAGCCACAGAAGCCAATCACAACTTTAAAGCCAGATTTGACCAACAAAAATTGACCTTCAGTAAACCGGGGGGAGAGAGCTAGGGTCCACTTCATCATGGTCTCTGTTAGGTTAGTACTGATATGACAACCACCACCACTACCACCACTACCACCACCACCACTACCACCACTACCACCACCACCACCACTACCACCACTACCACCACCACCACTTCAACAATCACCACCACCACCACCACCCTCACCACCACCACCACTACTCCGATAGCCACCACCACCACCCCCACCACCATCACCCCCACCACCACCCCCCACCACCACCACTACCACCACCACCACCACTACCACCACCACTACCACCACCACCACCACCCTCCCCCCCACCACCACCACCCCTTCAACAATCACCACCCCCACCACCACCACCACCACCACTACCACCACCACCACCCCCACCACCCCCACCACCACCACCACTACTCCGATAGCCACCACCACCACCACCACCCCCCCACCCCCACCACCCCCACCACCACCACCACTACTCCGATAGCCACCACCACCACCACCACCCCCCCACCCCCACCACCACCACCACCACCACCAGACCAGCCCAGAATTACACCTGTTACCGGCACCACTTCCCCCCTACGCTCCTCCCCCATCCGCTGACCCCTTCCTCCATCACCACCCCCCCTTCCCCCAGCACGCGCGGTAATCAAGGCAGCACCAGCCACACTCCTGCCCCCAGGCACCTCCGCTCCCTCCTCCCCCCTCCTCTTCCTCCTACACCTTCTTCTTCCTCCTCCTCCTACACCTCCCCCTCCAACACCTCCTCCAACACCTCCAACACCTCCTACACTTCCTCCAACACCTCCAACACCTCCAACACCTCCTACACTTCCTCCAACACCTCCAACACCTCCAACACCTCCTACACTTCCTCCAACACCTCCAACACCTCCAACACCTCCAACACCTCCAACACCTCCAACACCTCCAACACCTCCAACACCTCCAACACCTCCTACACCTCCTCCAACACCTCCAACACCTCCAACACCTCCAACACCTCCAACACCTCCAACACCTCCAACACCTCCTACACCTCCTCCAACACCTCCAACACCTCCAACACCTCCAACACCTCCAACACCTCCAACACCTCCAACACCTCCAACACCTCCAACACCTCCTACACCTCCTCCAACACCTCCAACACCTCCAACACCTCCAACACCTCCAACACCTCCAACACCTCCAACACCTCCAACACCTCCTACACCTCCTCCAACACCTCCAACACCTCCAACACCTCCAACACCTCCAACACCTCCAACACCTCCAACACCTCCAACACCTCCAACACCTCCAACACCTCCTACACCTCCTCCAACACCTCCAACACCTCCTACACCTCCAACACCTCCAACACCTCCAACACCTCCAACACCTCCAACACCTCCAACACCTCCAACACCTCCAACACCTCCTACACCTCCTCCAACACCTCCAACACCTCCAACACCTCCAACACCTCCAACACCTCCAACACCTCCAACACCTCCAACACCTCCAACACCTCCTACACCTCCTCCAACACCTCCAACACCTCCAACACCTCCAACACCTCCAACACCTCCAACACCTCCAACACCTCCAACACCTCCAACACCTCCTACACCTCCTCCAACACCTCCAACACCTCCAACACCTCCAACACCTCCAACACCTCCAACACCTCCAACACCTCCAACACCTCCAACACCTCCTACACCTCCTCCAACACCTCCAACACCTCCTACACCTTCTATTCATTGCCATGTTCTCCTGTTCTATAACTGTTATTTTGGATTGTTATTATTCTGGATCTTTGACTTCTTCATTTTCTATATATTATTATCCATGTTATCTTCCCGTTCTGTGTCTTCTTTGTCATACTTTCTAATGTAAAGAAGCTGTCTGTGTCCAAGCTGTTTATTCCAATTAGTATCTTGTATGTCGTGGTCATATCTTCCCTCCGTTTCGTCTGTCCTCCTAAGGTGTGAGGTCCAGTTCCTTCAACCTGTTCTAATAGAATAATTCTTAATGCTTTATCACTGAACTAGACGCAAATCCTCTCTACTTTTATGCTTCACAAGGTATGGGTTCCAGGCTGGTGCAGCATCTTCCAGTACTGATCTAATGAAAGATGTGTAAATTGCCTCGAGGGTGTCCAGGTTTACTTTTATAATCGATGTTCTAGTGTTTGCCAGCGTGTCATATGCTGCTGATGTCACCCAGTCTATGTGTGCCTCTGGTGTTAGGGATTTATATCCACTCCTACGTCTCTTTCTGGCTCAGGTTCCAGGAGTTGCCTGCCAGGAGTGTAGACACCTTCTGGTCTTCTTCCTCTCTTCCCCATCTTCAATGCCTTACATTTATTGGGGTTGAACTCAAGCATCCGTGTGTATGGTCAATCCTGGAGTTTCTCAAGACATTCCTTTAACTTTGTGCAGTCTTCCTCTGTTGTTATATTCATCGTTATCTCTGCAATATACAACCACTTGGTCCGGACGGTAGAGCGACGGTCTCGCTTCATGCAGGTCGGCGTTCAATCCCCGACCGTCCACAAGTGGTTGGGGCACCATTCCTTTCCCTCCGTCCCATCCCAAATCCTTATCCTGATCACTTCCCAGTGCTATATAGTCGTAATGGCTTGGCATTTTTCCCTAACGTCCCTCTCTCTGATATTTCAGACATTTATCAGATATTTAGATATTTAACTATTTAAATATTTATTTATATCAGATATTTAACTGATATTTCCCTCTCTCTTCTCACCACTCTCTCAGTACACGTAATATGTACATATGAACAGCTGACAGGTTAATGAAAAACTCTATGGAAAACACAACTACTATTTCAGGCTTTATTAGTATCGCTGGGAGTTGCAATAGAAGCTAATCCTTTCTATAGGTTGTCAATGTCGACCCAGACCCGTTCGTGTCAGTCCCCTACCATCCATGTGTCATCTTGAAAAGTTGAATGAGTCTAGCCCCAAACATCTGATCTTTGGACAGATAAACATTCTCTTTTATAGATATAGATTCATTAATAGATACATTAATAGATATATTATAAAATACTTGAAATACATAGCTCATTTAAAGTCATCTAAATTGATTAGAAACATTAGATGATTGTTGTTCGGAAACTATATTTTAAGACATCAATTAAATACACAAATACAACGAATGGTCGGTACCGCGCCCGTCTCGCTTCTTGCAGGGAGGCGTTCGATCCCCGCTAGTCTTACTGGATGGGTTCCGTTCCATCACTCCATCCTCCTATCCCAGCTCTCATCCCTTTCTCATATCCTTTCCGTGCCCTACACAGCCCTACTTGCTTAGTCGGAGCCGCTTAGGGGAGCCGGTCGGCCGAGCGGACAGCACGCTGGACTTGTGATCCTGTGGTCTTGGGTTCGATCCCAGGCGCCAGCGAGAAACAATGGGCAGAGTTTCTTTCACCCTATGCCCCTGTTACCTAGCAGTAAAATAGGTACCTGGGTGTTAGTCAGCTGTCACGGGCTGCTTCCTGGGGGTGGAGGCCTGGTCGAGGACCGGGCCGCGGGGACACTAAAGCCCCGAAATCATCTCAAGATAACCTCAAGATAGTCCTGGCTCCACACAGTGATGAGAAGTAACAATTGTGAGAACGCTAAGCCTTAAAGCCAATTAACTAAGCCAATTAACAATTGTTAATTGTTATCACAATTAACAATTGTGAGTCGTCAATAGGTGTCATTAGGGTGTGACGTGTGGCTCGAACAATGAAAGACATGGGGCCTATAGGCCTACTCTAATGAAGAGTACCAGTCCAGTCTCTGTCTTTACCAGTCTCCGTGGTGCAGTGGTAAGACACTCGCCTGGCGTTCCGCGAGCGCTTTGTCATAGGTTCGTATCCTGGCCGGGGAGGATTTACTGGGCGCAAATCCTTAACTGTAGCCTCTGTTTAACTCAACAGTAAAATGTGTACTTGGTTGTAACAACAATTCTTCGCGGCGGGGATCGTATTCCAGGGACCATAGGATTAAGGACTTGCCCGAAACGCTACGCGTACTAGTGGCTCTACAAGAATGTAACAACTCTTCTATATATCTTAAAAAAAAAAATCTATTCAAGGTGTTTGCTGGTTGGTCCCATATAGAATATATAAAACATTTTGCAAGGGATTTTGTCAAGACAACAATTACAAAATGAAAGTTTGGTATGGGTCAGATACTTTATAACATCAAGATATCTAATAAAGAATGCTTTTAGTAGTTTAGAAATTTCAATAAAGTTTTCATGATATAGCTGGAGATATTTTATTTAAGGTATTATGAGTTGGTTTGGAAGAGATTTCCTCGATCTCAGAATGGTTCAGAGTGAAGCTTAGGTCGAGTCTTGCTTTAAAGTGTTTCAAAGCGTGTTAAGTGTTTCAAAGTAAGCGAGTCATGCTTTTAAGAGGGCCAGCTCGCTAAACATTCTGTCGGTAACTTTAATAACCAACCAGAGAAGTAGAGGAGCAAGATCAACCTCCTAGACATCTTAAGAGTTAATTTCGTGCACATAGAAGCTTTAGGTCCTCTAGCATGAATATACGAATGGGTAGAAGAGAAGGGAAGGGATTGACGCTGAACCGAATGGAGCATTGAGTCCTGTATGACTAAAGCATTGTTTAAATACAGTTTGTTCAGGACTTTTCTGTATCTGAGGTTGTGAATGTATGTTAGAGTTGTGACGACTGTCGCTCCACAACCCAAGGAAATTAAATATAAATTTAATATAGAATTTATGGTTGTGATAATTTTAAGCTCGATGTGGGTTTGTGAAATATCAATGTCATTGAGTTATGTTCCTAGCTTAGAGAGAGAGAGAGAGAGAGAGAGAGAGAGAGAGAGAGAGAGAGAGAGAGAGAGAGAGAGAGAGAGAGAGAGAGAGAGAGAGAGAGAGAGGGGGGGGAGAGAGAGAGAGAGAGAGAGAGAGAGAGAGAGAGAGAGAGAGAGAGAGAGAGAGAGAGAGAGAGAGAGAGAGAGAGAGAGAGAGGGGGGGAGAGAGAGAGAGGGAGAGAGAGGGAGAGAGATATATGAAGAAATGACTTCTGCTCCTGAACAAATATATATGGAATTAGAGGGTAATAATACATGGATACAAACAAAATATATTTTATTGGAAAATATTAAAAAATAAATAATTTATCACAGTGAAAATGGAAAACTTTGAAATTTTCAAACATTCCTGCTTTTTCTATGAAAAAAATACATCGAATATGACAGCACAGAAGAAACTATAGTATTATAACATATAAATACATTAAAGACATATTATCTCTAATGAAACTATAATTTCAATAAATAAAAAAAATAATTATATAATTTTAATATTGATATGTTATCTTCAATCATTACAAACACCTACTATCACAGGTTATCGTTTCACGTTAGACTAAAACATTATATTCAAATTATGCCAGAGTTTCCGGACAGAAAAATATATCCTTTAATCTCCAGATACTTATATATATATATATATATATATATATATATATATATATATATATATATATATATATATATATATATATATATATATATATATATATTATCAGGTACGTAATTTCGCTTCAAAATGAAGTAATGTCTTTTCTTAAAAACTAAAATCCCACTATACAGTGGTGTGTTAATTTTTTAGTAAGGTATTAATCCCTCTATGGAACTGTTTTCAATGGTAAATGAACCAACTTTTTAACATCACTCGTGTAAATTGTGTTTGTTCACAAGAAAAAAGACTGCCTAATGTCTTTGGTTATTCAATGCCCTTAGTCATTTCGATCTGCTGGACGCTCACTGCGGGGTCAAGAGCTCAGCTTACTGAGTTCACGTAGAGGGGTCCCAAGGTGTCTCAAGGGGTCCCAAGGGGTCCCAAAGAGTCCCAAGGGGTCCCAAGGGTCCCAAGGAGTCCCAAAGAGTCCCAAAGAGTCCTAAAGAGTCTCAAGGAGTCCCAAGGGGTCCCAAGAGGACCCAAAGGGTCCCAAGGGGTCCCAAGGGGTCCCAAGGAGTCCCAAGAGGTCCCAAGGAGTCTCAAGGAGTCCCAAGGGGTCCCAAGGGGTCCCAAGGGGTCCCAAGGAGCCCCAAGGAGTCCCAAGGGGTCCCAGGGGGTCCCAAGGAGTCCCAAAGAGTCACCAAGGACGCCACATTCGCCTCATACTCAGATCATAAGGTTCCCCCTCATATTCCACTTCGATGTCCACGTCACCCTCCTCATCCGTCTCCATATCGTCCTCGCTTGACTCCTGGAGGTGACAAGGGGGCTGGAAGCTCTGGGGAGACACACTGGGCGGGGGTGTGGGCGGGGCGTGGGCGGGATTGGTCGGGGTGTAATAGGCTAAGATCACTGATTCGTGATTGGTGTGGGTCCTAGCCAGGGTGTTTAAGGGAGTGTATGAACACTCCTGTGTGTCTATTGATCCGGGTGAGTATACGATAGACATATTGGTAGGGGCAAGAATTGTGGGGGAGAAATGGGCGGGTGTGGGTATGTAGGTGGGTGGGTACTGGTGCGATGTAGGTATGGAGGTGGGTGTGGATGTTGAGGTTAGTGGGTACTGGGTGGATGTGAAAGTGGGTTCTAATTGGATGAATGTGTAGGTTGATGGGGTCTGAGTGGGTATGGAGGCGGATTGGAAGGTGGAGAACGAGGGTGTAGGCGAGCACTGGGTGGATGTTGAGGTGGGCTGGCACTGGGTGGATGTAGAGATGGGCGGACACTGGGTGGATGTTGAAGTGGGCGGACACTGGGTGGATGTTAAGCTCGGCAGACACTGGGTGGATGTTAAGCTGGGCGGACACTGTGTGGATGTTGAAGTGGGCGGACACTGGGTGGATGTTAAGCTCGGCAGACACTGGGTGGATGTTAGGCTGGGCGGACACTGGGTGGATGTTAAGCTGGGCGGACACTGGGTGGATGTTAAGCTGGGCGGACACTGGGTGGATGTAGAGATGGGCGGACACTGGGTGGATGTAGAGATGGGCGGGCACTGGGTGGATGTTAAGCTGGGAGGACACTGGGTGGATGTTGAAGTGGGCGGACACTGTGTGGATGTTGAAGTGGGCGGACACTGGGTGGATGTTAAGCTGGGCGGACACTGGGTGGATGTTGAAGTGGATGGACACTGGGTGGATGTTGAAGTGGGCGGACACTGTGTGGATGTTGAAGTGGGCGGACACTGGGTGAATGTTAAGCTGGGCGGACACTGGGTGGATGTAGAGATGGGCGGACACTGGGTGGATGTAGAGATGGGCGGACACTGGGTGGATGATGTAGTCCTGGAACCCTCACTGGACACAGGGGACACTACGACTCCTTCACACGACGAAGACGAAGAAGCGTCGGAGCCGCTGTTAATCCCTTCAGTGACCTCCCCCTCCAGCGGCAGGAGAAGACTGGAGTCGATACCTCCTTGAAGGAGGAAGCAGACACCTCCTGAGGGCATGCGAGTGGGCACTAGTGTGATATGGCTCCCTGCCTCGCTTGTGGCACTCTCAGGAGTGCCAACCTCAGGCTTCAGACCAACCAGCGACTCACATTTAATGCCTGACGATGCAGTTACCGCAGAAAGCCTGTTAGTGGCGTCCTGATTGGCCGTTTGACAATCTATTTCTTCCTGGCGGATAGTAGGTAGCTGAAGTGTCTTTAGACAAGACTTAAGATGACATAGAAGACGTTCCCTGAGTGCCTCTTTGCCTGCTTTGCCGAGTGCCTGTTCCACTACATTCATGCAGCGAGTGAAACCGTCCCTGTAGCTGTTGACGGCACTGTCAGAGCCGTCAGTTCTGTCTTCGTCACTGTCTCTGAGGGTCTTCATGTGCTTGACGGTAAGCTCGAGTATGTCAGCTTTCTCTAGCTTGGTGGGCTTGCCAGCCTCGCCCTTGACCAGGTGGGCCTCGGCCAAGAGAGAGGCCAGGTCGTTCAGGCTCGTGTTAATTCTCTCCCGTCGTTTCCGTTCCATCAGCGGCTTCCGGATCTGTCAAGGAGACAGGACAGGTTAGTGACGGGTGGACAGGTGTGTGACGGGTGGACAGGTGTGTGACGGGTGGACAGGTGTGTGACGGGTGGACAGGTGTGTGACGGGTGGACAGGTGTGTGACGGGTGGACAGGTGTGTGAAGGGCGGACAGGTGAGTGACGGGTGGGCAGGTGTGTGAAGGGCGGACAGGTGAGTGACGGGTGGACAGGTGTGTGAAGGGCGGACAGGTGAGTGACGGGTGGACAGGTGTGTGAAGGGCGGACAGGTGAGTGACGGGTGGACAGGTGTGTGACGGGTGGACAGGTGTGTGAAGGGCGGACAGGTGAGTGACGGGTGGACAGGTGAGTGACGGGTGGACAGGTGAGCGACGGGTGGACAGGTGTGTGACGGGTGGACAGGTGAGTGACGGGTGGACAGGTGAGTGACGGGTGGACAAGTGAGTGACGGGTGGACAGGTGAGTGACGGGTGGACAGGTGTGTGACTGGTGGACAGGTTAGTGACGGGTGGACAGGTGTGTGAAGGGCGGACAGGTGAGTGACGGGTGGACAGGTGTGTGACGGGTGGACAGGTGTGTGAAGGGCGGACAGGTGAGTGACGGGTAGACAGGTGAGTGACGGGTGGACAGGTGAGTGACGGGTGGACAGGTGAGTGACGGGTGGACAGGTGAGTGACGGGTGGACAGGTTAGTGACGGGTGGACAGGTGGACAGGTTAGTGACGGGTGGACAGGTGAGTGACGGGTGGACAGGTGAGTGACGGGTGGACAGGTTAGTGACGGGTGGACAGGTGAGTGACGGGTGGACAGGTTAGTGACGGGTGGACAGGTTAGTGACTTGGTCGACAAGTTAGTGACTAGCCCCGAAGACCCCAACGATAACTATCCCCGACGACCCCAACGATAACTAGCACTGAAGACCCCAGCGATAACTAGCCCCGAAGAACCCCAGCGATAACTAGCACCGAAGACCCCAGCGATAACTAGCACCGAAGACCCCAGCGATAACTAGCACCGAAGACCCCAGCGATAACTAGCACCGAAGACCCCAGCGATAACTAGCCCCGAAGACCCCAGCGATAACTAGCACCGAAGACCCCAGCGATAACTAGCACCGAAGACCCCAGCGATAACTAGCACCGAAGACCCCAGCGATAACTAGCACCGAAGACCCCAGCGATAACTAGCACCGAAGACCCCAGCGATAACTAGCCCCGAAGACCCCAGCGATAACTAGCACCGAAGATCCCAGCGATAACTAGCCCCGAAGACCCCAGCGATAACTAGCCCCGAAGACCCCAGCGATAACTAGCACCGAAGACCCCAGCGATAACTAGCCCCGAAGACCCCAGCGATAACTAGCCCCGAAGACCCCAGCGATAACTAGCACCGAAGACCCCAACGATAACTTATGATTCCTAGTTTCCAGCGACAACTTACCCTTCGGGCTTCGCTGACGGGCTTAGGCTGTCTGGGCTTGGAAACAAGCGGGGGCTGTTGCTGTACGCCCATTGCTGCTGTTTCCTGGCGATCCAAGAGGACAAAAAGCCTACTTCTGAGGGCACAATAGGCTGAGATTGTTGGTAAACACTGACTGGGCGACGGAGCGTGTGTGAGCGACGAGGACACGACGACGCGTCCTCCCTCCACCGAGCCTCGTGGCGTTCTGGCGGGAGTCCAGCGCCGGACACACGACTTCCAGCGCCACACGACGCTCCACAATGTTTCGCTCACCATCGACCTCAAAAACCATCAATTTGACTCGCTATATAACTAACAAAGCCGTTTTCAATAGCATTATATAAATATATTTGCATTATAAAACATATATCATTTGTCGCATGTGTTTTAATGTTATATTTACATAAAACATTCAAGGAATTGATTAAGTAAATCATTTGAAAGAATAAGTATAATTCCAGATATATTCTCGCCCGGGCAGAGCGCGTGCTCTCATTGGCCACGTGTAGTCTTGTGCTCGCTGCTCATTGGTGCTGATGGTCACGAGTCTGGACGGTGATTGGCTGGTGGAGACGCATGGCCACCCGACGATTGGCCGAGGGCGACGTATGCGAGAAGTGATCAACCTTGCACAAGATCACATTCACACCAACCGTTTTCCTTAAAAAAAAAGAAGAAAAATGAATACAAAGGGACTTGTCTGATCGTCATCCTGAAGACGCTCCTGTTTGTACGAAACCTCTACATCTTTTCTTAACCATATAGCTCCTTTTGTTTAGAGATTCACAAGGTAAATATTATTGTCAACTGTCTCGTAGTGCTTCAGAGATTATCAATGTCAACAAAGGCTAGATTGAGGAAAGATGTAGAGGTTTCGTAAGGGGGATGGGTAGATGCCTAATGCATTCTGGTCCTGGAAGGAGTGACTCTATAGTCTATAGGACTATCTCTGCTGAGGACTATCTCTGTTGAGGACTATCTCTGTTGAGGACTATCTCTGCTGAGGACTATCTCTACTGAGGACTATCTCTACTAAGGACTATCTCTGCTGTGGACTATCTCTGCTGAGGACTATCTCTGCTGAGGACTATCTCTGCTGAGGACTATCTCTGCTGAGGACTATCTCTGTTGAGGACTATCTCTGTTGAGGACTATCTCTGCTGTGGACTATCTCTGCTGTGGACTATCTCTGCTGTGGACTATCTCTGCTGTGGACTATCTCTACTAAGGACTGTCTCTACTAAGGACTATCTCTGCTGTGGACTATCTCTACTGGACACCCACTACTGAGAGCATCGTGGACAACAGTGGCGCCATCTACGGACACCTTCTACACCCCTCGTCGTCTATAACAGACGAGGGAGACATGTCAGCGACATGCAAGATTTAACTGGTACCAACAAAGTGGACAAAGAAACCTTGTGTATAGCCAGGAACCCCAAGACGAGGAGGCATAGATGAAAACCTGTGACATAGACGGCTCCAGACAGAGAGAGAGACAGAGAGAGACAGAGAGAGAGAGAGACAGAGAGAGAGAGAGAGAGACAGAGAGACAGAGAGAGAGAGAGAGAGAGAGAGAGACAGAGACAGAGAGAGACAGAGACAGAGAGAGACAGAGACAGAGAGAGACAGAAACAGAGAGAGACAGAGACAGAGAGAGAGAGACACAGACACAGAGACAGAGAGAGAGAGAGAGAGAGAGAGAGAGAGAGAGAGAGAGACAGAAACAGAGAGAGACAGAGACAGAGAGAGACAGAGACAGAGAGAGAGAGACACAGACACAGAGACAGAGAGAGAGAGAGAGAGAGAGAGAGAGAGAGAGAGAGAGAGAGAGAGAGAGAGAGAGAGAGAGAGAGAGAGAGAGCGAGAGAGACAGAGACAGAGAGAGAGAGAGAGAGAGAGAGAGAGAGAGAGAGAGAGCGAGAGAGACAGAGACAGAGAGAGAGAGAGAGAGAGAGAGAGAGAGAGAGAGACAGAGACAAAGAGAGACAGAAACAGACAGAGACAGAAACAGAGAGAGACAGAAACAGAGAGACATAAACAGAAACAGAGAGAGAGAGAGAAAGAGAGAGATAGACGGAGGGAGAGAGAGAGAGAGAGAGAGAGAGTCTAATTCAATCACCACAAATACTAATGACTTCTGAGCGGTTAACCAGATTCTTAAAAAACTAAGATTAACCCATCACGTTAAGTTGGTCTGCGGACCATTGGTCTTTGTGAGAAGGTGGATCGTTAGAAGGGGGTTATCCTGGCTAAATTGGGAGCCCCGCCTGCGGAGCCCCGCAGGCGGAGCCCCGCAGGCGGAGTGCCGCAGGTGGAGTGCCGCAGGCGGGGATCCTGCTGCCTTACCTGACCTTTGACACATAACCTTCCGCTGCTCCAGGCAAAACCACGACCCCACACACACGCCACCTAACCCCCTCTTCCATCTCTCTCTCTCCCTTCCCATCCTCCCCCTCCCTCCTTCACGCACACGCCACTACCCCCCTTCCTTTCCCCCCCTTTCCTCCAACCCCTTCCCCATCCCCCCAACCCTCCCACAAGCGGGTGTTTACCCCTGGGGGAAAAGGATGTCCGGTCCTGTGCTCGTCTCTGGGGCTCGGGGGAGTTTAGTGAGGTCTAATGCTGTTATTGGTGGTGTTGGCACTGTTCTGGTACAGGTGTTGGCACTGTTGGTGGTACAGGTGTTGGCACTGTTGGTGGTACAGGTGTTGGTACTGTTGGTGGTACAGGTGTTGGCACTGTTGGTGGTACAGGTGTTGGTACTGTTGGTGGTACAGGTGTTGGCACTGTTCTGGTACAGGTGTTGGCACTGTTGGTGGTACAGGTGTTGGCACTGTTGGTGGTACAGGTGTTGGCACTGTTCTAGTACAGGTGTTGGCACTGTTCTGGTACAGGTGTTGGCACTGTTGGTGATACAGGTGTTGGCACTGTTCTGGTACAGGTGTTGGCACTGTTGGTGGTACAGGTGTTGGCACTGTTGGTGGTACAGGTGTTGGTACTGTTGGTGGTACAGGTGTTGGTACTGTTGGTGGTACAGGTGTTGGTACTGTTGGTGGTACAGGTGTTGGCACTGTTCTGGTACAGGTGTTGGCACTGTTCTGGTACAGGTGTTGGCACTGTTCTGGTACAGGTGTTGGCACTGTTCTGGTACAGGTGTTGGCACTGTTGGTGGTACAGGTGTTGGCACTGGTGGTGGTACAGGTGTTGGCACTGTTGGTGGTACAGGTGTTGGCACTGTTCTGGTACAGGTGTTGGCACTGTTCTGGTACAGGTGTTGGCACTGTTCTGGTACAGGTGTTGGCACTGTTCTGGTACAGGTGTTGGCACTGTTTTGGTACAGGTGTTGGCACTGTTGGTGGTGTTGGCACTGTTGGTGGTACAGGTGTTGGCACTGTTGGTGGTGTTGGCACTGTTGGTAGTATAGGTGTTGGCACAGTTGGTGGTACAGGTGTTGGCACTGTTGGTGGTACAGGTGTTGGCGGTGTTGGCACTGTTGCTGGTACAGGTGTTGGCACTGTTGGTGGTACAGGTGATGGCACTGTTGCTGGTACAGGTGTTGGCACTGTTGGTGGTACAGGTGTTGGCACTGTTGCTGGTACAGGTGTTGGCACTGTTGGTGGTACAGGTGTTGGCACTGTTGGTGGTACAGGTGTTGGCACTGGTGGCACAGGAGCCTGCCCAATACCCTAAGGCAAGTGTGGAGTGGTGAGGAGAGACCCTCATGCAATCTATAAGGGGCCCTCAGGGGAACATGGGGTCCTCACTCAGGTGGCCCCCAGGGGCACGAGGGGCGGACCTGAGGGCCCTGGGGCATGGGGGACAGGAAGCCAGCAGGTGGTGGTGGGGGGGGGAGATTCTTACAAAAAAATCATACCCAAATTTCCGGTAATTAAGTTAATCTCCATTGTCTAGCGAGCGGGGCGCTGGAAGATTAGCGAACTATACCTTGCCATGGTTTCGGGGCTCAATGTCCTCGCGGCCCGGTTCTTGACCAGGTCTTCTTTTGGTTACGCATCCCCAGGAAGCTGCCCGTAGCAGCTGTGTAACTCCCAGGATACCTATTTACTGCTAGGTGAATGTGGGCATCAGGGTGAAAGAATCTGTCTGTTTCCGCCTCCATTGGGGATCGAACCCGGGGCCGTAGGACTACGAATCCCGAGCGCTGTCTACTCAGCTATCAGGGTCCAGGACAGATCTTTTAAGTCGCTTTAAGTATATCAAGTATTGGCTAAGTTTTTCATCTGTCCCATTTAGATAATCCTTTAATTAGTCGAAAGTTACTTATAACCGGTTCATTCACGAAGATCTTAACCGACGCCACTATATACAGGTTCCGTAGAGCATAAGTAGCACGGGCTATGGTGATCCCGTAGTGGACTTACCTGGCACAGGAGCGGGGCAAGTAGCACGGGCTATGGTGAGCCCGTAGTGGACTTACCTGGCACAGGAGCGGGGCAAGTAGCACGGGCTATGGTGATCCCGTAGTGGACTTACCTGGCACAGGAGCGGGCAAGTAGCACGGGCTATGGTGAGCCCGTAGTGGACTTACCTGGCACAGGAGCGGGGCAAGTAGCACGGGCTATGGTGATCCCGTAGTGGACTTACCTGGCACAGGAGCGGGGCAAGTAGCACGGGCTATGGTGATCCCGTAGTGGACTTACCTGGCACAGGAGCGGGGCAAGTAGCACGGGCTATGGTGATCCCGTAGTGGACTTACCTGGCACAGGAGCGGGGCTGTAAATTGAGGAATGTGTGAGGCTCCAATGTTTACCCAAAGCGCCCCTTTTCCCACTGCTGTCAACAGAGACAACAGAGAGGGGCTGTCAGTCACTCTACCCCCTGTTTGACACCCCTGTACACGCCTGGTGTAGTGGCTCCTTAGATGTAGATGGGAGTTCTCAGGATTGGCACCGAGTGATTGGCCAGTCCTGTTTGCTGACTGAGAATGAACTTTAAAGTTCTAAAAGAACTTAGAAAGAAGGTAACTGCAGAAGGCCTATTGGCCCATACGAGGCAGCTCCTCTTTATATCCACCAATTCTCATATATATGTCTAACCTGCGCTTGAAACAATCAAGGGATCCTACTTCTATTATGTTACGCGGTAATTGGTTCCACAAATCAACAACCCCGTTACCGAACCAGTATTTACCCAGGTCTTTCCTAAATCTCACAATAAAG